CCCTTACAGTCTCCTACATGCCTTTTTGCAAACTCAAAATGTGCCATTTTTTGCTGAAAGTAATGGCTTTCTTCTGGCCACTCTGCCATAAAGCCCAACTCTATGGAGCTTATGGCTTATTGTCATCCTATGTACAGATACTCCAGTCTCTGCTGTAGAACTCTGCAGCTCCTCCAGGGTTACCTTAGGTCTCTGTGCTGCCTCTCTGATTAATGCCCTCCTTGCCTGGTCCGTGAGTTTTGGTGGGAAACCGTCTCTTGGCAGGTTTGCTGTTGTGCCATGTTCTTTCCATTTTGTTATGATAGATTTGATGGTGCTCCTGGGGATCATCAACGATTTGGATATTTTTTAATAACGGAACCCTGACTTGTACTTCTTAACAACATTGTCCCTTACTTGTTTGGAGAGTTCCTTGGTCTTCATGGCAGTGTTTGGTTAGTGGTGCCTCTTGCTTAGGTGTTGCTGCCTCTGGGGCCTTTCAAAAAAGGTGTGTATATGTAATGGCAGATCATGTGACACTTAGATTGCACACAGGTGGACATCATTTCACTAATTATGTGACTTCTGAAGGTAATTGGTTGCCCCTTTTTATGGGCTTCATAACAAAGGGGTGAATACATACGCACATGCCAATTTTCTGTTTTCTATTTCAAAAAAATAGTTTTATGTAAATATTTTTCTCATTTCACTTCACCAACTTAGACTATTCTGTTCTGATCCATCACATAAAATTCAGATTAATAAAACATTGAACTTAGGGCTGTAGTGTAACAAAATGGGTAAAAAGTCAAGGGGGTGAATACTTTTGCAAGGCACTGAATACCAAAGCAGTGGTAAAATAACCTGAAAATCAAAATGTAATTTTCTGAAAAAGAGAAAAATAACTTATAATTCATCATCACGTATACTATATAAAGTTTTTATGTAATAAATAATTGTGAATTAATGTGTTTTTATTTGGTGTCTGTGTATGCGTGTGTGCACATATTTGTGTGTATATGTCTCCAGGTAGATGTATAATGATATATGGTAAATTAGTGTTTGAATATGTATGTTGTGTATTTGCGTTGCTGTTTGTCCATGTAGAATAGGTTGGTGTGTGTATACGTATATGTGCTATGAGTGTGATTTTTTTTCTAAATATATAGAGAGAGATGAAACGTGCCTGTCTATCTGTTTATTTCCAAGCTCCTTCTTGCATCCTCTCCGGGACTCTCAGAGGGTCTCACCTCTGGGTTGATTTCTGCCCTCAAACTGAAATGACTGTGGCCTCAATTAAATATATGTCAGACTGGTGTCTTCCTCTGGGTTGATGGTGTCACTTTCCAGATTTTCTCACATTCACTTTGATGAGATCTCCTGTCATCACCACACCCAGGCATTAGGATATTGCTTAATAGCCTGTTATAAAGCATAGTAACTCTCACCTTTCCCTAGCGTACTATTTGCAAGGAATCTAAATCTAGATAATAAATTCTTAGACAAGTAAATAGAATACAAGATTCCTGCAAGTCTGGCTGGTTTCTTGGAAATAAAGCAGGCATTAACTAAAGATGGACCTGTATATAGTGTTATTGTTTAGTGTGGGGTCACCTAGTCAACTTAGATTCATCTTTTTCAATCTCTTTCAGGAATGGTAAGATAAGTCAATGCCATCAAGAGTCCTACGTCCATAGTCCAGAAAATGTTTGATAGTAAACTGATGCTGTCAATCTATCTCAGTGTACAGCAAGATATTAGATATTAAGAAACAAAATATTTCTATTCATATGCTCAATTACCAGTATATTTGCCTCTTGTTTTAATTTACCCTGCTTTGTTATACATTGAAAGTTCTTCTATGCATCTTTGTCTGTTTGCTTCTCTGTTGCCAAATGGTGAAACTGATAAAGTCATCAATTAAATGTATCTTCTATCTGCTCGTGTATTGCTGAATATCTTGGCCAAGACAAACCAACTTAAAACGAACCCAATTATTCATGTGGAAATTACAGCATTCAATAGAACACATTTAACCCAATTATTAAAAAAATTATTGACAAGAAAACATAGTTGAGACACTCTGTTCCAACAGAGACTAAAATATTGCAGTGTGAATTTCTGCATTTATTTATTTTTTTATGTAGACTACACAAACCCCCATTTATTAAATATAGGTGATGTAACTGTTCCTCTTTAATTTAAATCCATATATTTTATATGTCACTGTCATCTTCACACCCCAGACCTGTGGTTCTCAACCCAATCCTCAAGGAACCAACAAATTAGGATTTGGGAATTTCAACAAGATTATTTCAATGGGGACATTGGTGAAACCTGGACCATTGTGGTTCCTTGATGACTAGGCTGGGTACGACTGTCATAAATGAAACTATTCAGTTTAAACCTGTCTTAGGGGACTACCAAAAGCAAGATCTAAAGGTATCCCTGTTTAATTTAAACTTGACCCCGGCATGAAAGGATTCTGGATTCTTGAATATATGGCAGGGGTGAAAGGATTATGTGCAAGGTACAAGAATGATGTATGGGTTTAATCAGAGTGGGCATTGTCAGGGTATTTATATCGGCAGACATCTTGTGCTATGATAGAAATTAAAAGTGTATATGCTGAGTCACTTTTGAACAGAGCAGACTCCATTTTGTTATTTCCAAGCTAACAAAAGACACAAGATTTCTATCTGTAAAACTAACCACTTTCCCAGAGTTAAAGGAATGCATAGTATATACAAACCAAGTGATAAGGAGAACGGGGGTTGGACAGACTGTCTAAATGCTAATGGAATATAATCAATTCTAAACCCAGACATTTGTGACAGAGGAGATTAAATAATAAAATTTTACTTTCTATATGTACAAGATCTCATTGTAAGAAGAGGTGAAGAGTTCACGAACTGCCATATTAGAAATTATAGCAGGAATTGCGGACACTAAGTCTGGACAAAACTAAGAGAAAACCCTTTGAAGTGAAAGAAAACGTAAGTTATGGCCACGATAAAGATAAGCCAAAATGACGTCAAAATAGCCACCAGGAAAAGTTAACTCTTTCCTGGATAGGTATGTTTAGTGGGACGAGACTGCCATCTATGGATCAAATACCTAAATTGCGATCCTTAGATTGGGCACACCCCCAGTGTTTCTATTGGGTTATCAACTAATGACGTACAGAGAGTCTGGCCCTTTAAAAGTTAAGACAAAGAGAGGAAAAGGGAGAGGAGGAGGAATTGGAAGTTTGGGGACTCCAACTCAGACATGCAGAGAAACCCAGGACAACATCTGAGACTAACACTCAACTCACAAACTCTTTGACACTTTCTAACCAACACTACTTTTCACTATTACCCATGCACCTCCATGCAGAGAGACATCCAAACAAGTTCCTGAGACTACCAATCGGATGAAATATCTACTCAACTGGTAATTATACTGGTTTCATTTAATTAATTAAATTAATTAAAAATTACTAATAGCATGATATATGACTGGATAAATCACGGTCAGATTTCCATATTAAGAAATCTTAGTTAACTAAAGAATATATAGTTATAAACATTCCATTCTGCAGGTGGAATTAAGAATAATTATATATTAATGTGATATTATCATGTGTTAGCATACCGCTGTTTTTATCCAGGTGTATTGATTTGCTCTAATATAAGATAAGATATCTTTTAGACAAATTAAAATCTGCTTATAACATGGTAGATTCTCTTATTGGATGGTTCCAGGAAATGACTAATGAACTGGTTTAAATGTTATTTTATTTAAAATTACATAAGAATAGATCTTAATTACCTAGGAGATCTAGCCAGCATTGAAAGGGTTATTCAGTTGATCTAACTGTTAGCCAGGGTTTTATGGCCCATCGCTGTGAAAAGCTTTGCTTTCTATGTCTGTAAGGATACCTCATAAATCGTGTAAGTCTTGACAGAAAATGCTGTTTAGCCATTGAAACGTGTATACCCATTCCATTGCATTGTATACTATGTTGTACTAAATACTAATTGATTATTGTCACGCATGTTACATATTATTATTAATTTTGTTATTATAAAACAAATCTATTTTTATAACATTGTGATTTTATTTAGATGAAATACTTTTCACTTAACACGATAACGATCTTTGGGATCTGAGAATTGAATTAGTGGGCAATTCTCACTGTTTACTATTATTATCCCATAAATATCCCCACAGCATCTATCATTTTATCATGACCATATTCTAAGAGTATGAATAGGAGCGTGGCATCACACTTACATTATTTGTAAACACTGGTTACATGCAAGAGGCAAAAACTCGTTTTGCTTAGTAATATACTTTGTATTGGATTATGTAACAAAGAAAGTGTACAAATTAGAGTAAGGAAAGCCTTTATTCATAGCCTGTATTAACTGTCCCTTGGAGGCCACAAGTGTACATTTTGTGTGCAAAGGAAAAGACAATTACCATATGAAACTCACAAAAAGACAAAGGCCTTAATTTAATAAGCTTTCCAATTAATAGAATACTGCGAGAAACACTTTCCAAGTGATTTATCTACAGAAGTCATCATTGAAGTGTATAGGCATTTTTGTAGATTAAAAATGTGAAAAGTTTTTTCTAACAAAATTGAATCATTTGGAAAGCTTATTAAACTGAGGACAAATATATAAACATATCCCTACTATTGTAATAACCTGACCACAGAAGCTCTCTAAACCAGTGGTTCCCAAACTAGTCCTCATGGCCCACCAACAGTCCAGGATTTATATATTTTGCTTTTTTATTCCAGAGGAGATACTGACCAAACCTGGACAGTTGTTGGACCATTAGAACTGTTTTGGGAGTGTAACCGTTCGTACTCCAATTTACCGCTATAACGTCTTATAACTTAGAATTTAGCAGGGCTAACCATACAGATATCTAAAAATATTGTATAGTCGGTATAGAGTTTCTCTATTTAAAATACATAAATAATTGAGAATACAATAAAAATAGGAGTTGGAAGCAATAACGTTTGTCTTATTAATATAGTTTATTGAATAAATGAATAAAGATCCATTAATATATCATAAAGCAGAGTATATAAGATTAAATGAATAAATGCTTGCAATATAATTAGTATAACATACCCTCCTGATTATACAGGTAATCTCTCAGTATGTCACCTCCAGAGTCGGTCAGTATGTCTCTATCTAGCATTGATCATGCATGTATATATAGTATAGCATTTCTAATTACTACTGGTAATGTATGGGTTAATTCATCTTAGGGTTAAAAGCAGTTCATATATAAAAATAAAAGAAAAACACCCTTATCAGTCTAATGTCATAACCTAGACATCTTTAATCTGTATTTGGACTAGAAGTTAGGTTGACATACACTTTAGGGTTAAGAGAAGGTCATATATAAAAAATAAGTCTAATGTCATAACCTAGACATCTTTAATCTTTATTTGGACTAGACGTTAGGATGACATAGGCAAAGCCTTGAATTGTTATTGCATTAAATTAAGACAAGATGGAGTAAACATGTTGTGTACTGTAAATAGGTAAAAGGTTATTAGTTAAAGAAACAGTTGCAGTTTAAAGAAATACAATGTAGCAATGTGTATTATACCCACAATTGCCCATCACACCCTCCTGTTTAAACTGAGGGTTTCTTTGAAGAAGGTTTCTTTCTTTGCTTAACACCTCCCTGCTCATGTAAGGGAGGGGACTGTGGTGAATAGGACACAGTGGAAGGGACAGGAATGAAACAATTACAATCATATATACCTGTGTGATTGCACATTATGTCATCGTGATCAGTACGTAAATAATAAAATTCACCTGGTATATAATGTGTTATGTCATTTTGAGTAAACTCTTTTCTCATGTCAGTTTTCCAAATTCCACCCCAGCATTTATTAAAATTTCGTGTACACACCATAACTGTTGTGATCCCATATGCACCATGAGAGACAATGTTAATATGACCAATTTCTTTGATTAAAGTGTATAGCTGGAATATCTCTTTAGCTCGATCCATGCATTTAATGGATGGTTGATTGTAGTGAGTCAAAAGAGCTGTTGTCTGACAAAAATTTAAGAAGGTCATCAAATCCCTCGGTAGTATATTCATGGCTGGATCCTGAAAGGAGAAGCATGTCAAAGTCATCAATTTTCTGTTGTAATCCAAGTTTCTGGGGTGCATTTCTGGTGGTGGTGATTGTTTTGGAGCGTCTGGATACCGAGTTAGTATTGGTAGCAGGTATTCCTCTAACATCATTGGTTGCCATAAGGACACTGGCACCTTTGCTCTTGGTGTTTGGTATAGTTGATAATTGAAAACATGTAGAAATGAATTTATTCATGTTTCTTTGCCCTGTGAGGGAGAAAAGAAATTATTCTCCAAGTTACAATTAGTAAAAATATAATAATTATAGTTATCATTATTGGTTTCAAATACCAAAAAATACTAAATCCTGTTCCTATTACCCCTTTAACAAGATTTGCTAAAGATTCAGCTATGCTTTAAACAGTTTTACCAATTGAAGGTAAAATAGGAGTCAATATCTTACCAAGTTCTTTCAGCCAGTATGGGAAATCTCTCTCGTGGTCTTGAATATTGAGAAGAGAAAGCCTAACTCTTATTAATATATCTTGCACTTGCTCGTGGGTGGAGCATAAGGTGATTTTGAATTGTTGTAAGTGAGCCAAGAAAGCACTCATATATGGAAGTTTTAAAGATATTGGGGGTATGTGTATTTTAACGATATCTGTTAGTTTATAATTTTGTAAAGGAGGTTTTAACAATCTTCCATAACAGTAAATGTCATGATCCGTGGTTACAATTAATGGTTGTAAAGCAGGTAACTTGCAATCTGAATAAGGACTCATAATTAAATAAGAACCATTTCTTAAAGATTCAAAGTACAGATAATCATTTTGTATTGGTTCTGTATTAAGTAAGCAATCAGCTGATGTGGCAGGATTGTTTCCACAAGGAGTCTGTACTTTTACATCTTCACATATTACATAACTTTTTTCTTGGCATCTAGAAACAGACAAATAATATATCTGATCACATGTCTTTGATATATATTGATATGGATGTTGTATTGTTATCTTTGCCAACAGGTGACCTATATTATCAAGCTTCCAATTCGTAGTGTATATTTCACCTGGAAGAGTTAACTCATAATAAATTTTAACTTCCCACTGGCTAACCTTGGCATTGTTTAAATGTTTTGTTTCTCTGATATCATAAACAAAGGTCTGAGAAATGTGCAATAACACTTCGATTTGTTTTTTAGTTAATTTTAACCTTTGAAGCACTTTAGTTATGTTAACCAGACTTGTATCAATTAAACCATTTTGTAAATTAGATCAAATATCAAAAATCTTCTGATTCAACATAGATATTTTCACACTTTCTTCTAGTGTAGAAATATCATATATTAATGCTGCAGTAAGCGTTATCAGGTGGTCTTTAAGAATCAATATACCTTGACGTAGCAATTCATCATTTAGATCAGAATAATGGGATACAACCTGAATAGCTTCTACAAGTAATTGGCCAGTATATAGGAAGGAGTTTGCATTGGTTAACAAAGTCCTTCTTCTGCGAGACACGTCTCATGTTACATTCCTCTGGATCACTATTTTGTATATTTTTATATGTAATATCTAAAAATGTTTTATTAGTAGACCATGCTGCGATTGCAAATGGCATCTCTGCAACATTCTGTAAAGTACAATTCTGAAATTCACAAGGTCTATCTTCATTAGCGATTAAAACATACATTTGAGTTTTTATACCATTAATTACAATATCTGTATTATATATCATACTGTCACTTACACATTTCTGATACAGGGAGTATACTAAATAATTTGCATTAATACTTATCGGTTTCCTCTCGATGCACCACATTCCTGGAAGTCCAGAATATAGCAAAAATCCTTGGTCTATGTTTTTAGGGAGCCATTTAAAGTTCTGATTGGTATAATTATACCAGAGAGAGCAAGGGGCACAACGGTAGATTATATCTGGATTAGAACCATTACAGATTCCTTGTTTTATCAATGTCTCTGTAGTTATGTTACAGGAATTCCTTGCTTTGCAGGTATGTACATAATATGTAGAGTTAAGAAATGCTGCAAATCGGGGTTTAGTACAAGTGTCCTATGGGGTCAAGTCTCTAAAAAGCTTTTGTTGACCATTCATATTCCATTCTTTTGGCAATGCTTCTGCTTTTAATAGGCCTGTCTTATTGTTGCTCATCAACTGCTGCAAGGTTTCTTTCACTAATTGATGTATTTCGTCTGAATTCAAATTCACACGCCACCATGAGTCATTATAAAGTTCATTACTACAGAATATGGTTCCAGTGTGGTTTCTCACTCCACCAGGAAATCTATATTCCTCTTCTTCTGCTCCTTCCCAGTAACCAATTTTTTCTGAATTGTAGGTAAAAATCTGTGTCTTATACTGAGAGGTGCTTAGATAATCAATTAGGTATTCTTATTGTATTGTATTCCATCTTGAGTAATACCTGGACGTGGACAGTGATCAGCCTTTATTTCTGATTCCGGCCATCTTCTGTTTGACTGAATATTAACATAATAGCAATGTCCAAAATTAGCATAGCACATCTTTTCAGCATAAGAAGGCTGTTTGCGATAGTCATCCAATGGTAAATTATATGGCAAAGTCTTTTCTTGAATCACCTTCATATGTGCATCCAAAGTTTCTTTGACAAGCATCTGTCCCGTCTCGCTTCTAATTCCAGCATCTTTAGCCATCACTGCTGAGTCTAGTATTAGGATTTGAGATAGTCCAATCACTTGTTTCTTGTGTATAATCGGTTTTGGGTATGGTTTCCAATAGGTTCCTTGTGGAATACCAGAATACGTCACATTGGCGATTACTTCGCTGTGAATTGTGTCTCTTTTCATAAGATGGTTCCTGGAGGTCATCCTCACGATCATGGAACTTGTATTGTATGCAGTCCAATTCAATACAGGAGCTTCTTGGTTGTTAACATAATCCCAATGCAGTTTCAAAACAACTACTAGGGTTGATGTTATCATGATAATGCTGCAGATAGTAATAAAGAGACACCACATCCAATTCTTTAGTATCCATTTGCTTCCATCTTTGCATTTCTTTCTTACTGTGTTCCATACTTTATGTAAAGTCTGTTTTTCTGGTAATGATGATTCATGTTCCAATTCTTCCATAGCAATTGTAAATATATCATTTTCTGTTCGTAGATCCTTCTCCTTTGCATTTTCAATTATCTGATCATGAGTTGGTCTATTGCGAGGCTGTGAGATGGGTTGCTTTTCCATTCTCTTTTGTGTTTCTCTTGCTTCCTTCGACAGTATCCATTGTGTCAGGGTCAATGGTTCTGTGGACATCTTGGAAATACTTTGCTGGTTTTAAATTATCAATGCTTACTGTTCTCTGTTGGCCTTGTTTGTTCTCCGTAATAAAAGTTCTCGGATTTAGAATCGTCACAATTTTCACAGGCTTTTTCCAGCGTGGTCGCAGGGGGCGTAGTGTATGGACCCTCTCCAGGACGAACTGGCCAACAGTAGGAACCCAAGTAGTAGGTGACGGATTGTGGTGCGTCGTGGGTCGAGAAAACAATTCTCTAATTTCCTCTAACAGAACCAGCTGTTCTAATCTCCCTGGTGCAGAAATATGTTCAGTAAAAGTTGTGTTACAAGGGACACCATACAACATTTCATATGGAGTTTTACCATTAGTAGTATTAGGTATATTGTTAATGCCCAATTGTACCATAGGAATAAGTGGATACCACTGTGTGGGGCGAGCAACTAGCAACTTGGTTAATAGTCTTTTCACCTCAGCATTTTTCCGTTCCACAACCCCACAACTTTGAGGGTGGTTGGGTGCACTGATTTCCCAAAGTAACCCAAACGAGGTTGCCCAGTTCTGGGTTTCTTTTGCAGTAAATGCAGGACCACCATCCGAGTGGATGGTCCTAGGCTTACCAATGCATACTAAGGAAGTGAGACTAGCAATCGTGGTATTAGAGGTCGCACTTCGCACAGGGTATAACCAAGTAAACCTGGTACATGCATCAACACATACTAAAACATATTTATAACCATGGGATGGTGGCAAAGGTCCAATATGATCAATATATAATAATTCAAAAGGTACATTGGGTATTGATTTTTCAATAAAGGGTACGACTGAATGATTCAGTCTATTCACTAATACGCATTGCTTACAATTACCAATAACATGAACAACAGTCCTTCTCATTTTGGGCCACCAGTATCTTTTTTTCAGAGTAATAAGTACATTATTTCTACCCAAATGAGCTTGTCCCAATCCTGAATGAGCCTCTACTACAAGTTTTCCCTCTCCTTTACAGGGGGAACAATGAAATTATTACCATCAATGGTTACTATACAATCAACTCCTTCTAAATGATAGGAGTATTTGGTAGGATAGCCAGCTGGATTATGTCTGGTCTTATTCAGGCAAGCATTTAACTCTGCATCTACTTTGAGAGAAAGGGTATGTTTCTGTGATCTAGTGACCACATTAACAGAATAGCTTTGGCTGACACTTTGCGCCAAAGTGTCTGCCAGCTGGTTGCCAACTGTATGAGGTGAAGAACCTAACTTCCTGTGTGCAGGTTCATACACAATTTCAATGTCAGGTTTCTTTTGCAAATATGCATCAATTTGTTTCCACAAAGAAATA